GCCCCGCCTACCAGCCCCTGACCCCGCCCACCGGGCCCTGGCCCGCTCACCGGCCCTGGCCCTGCCCACTGGGCCCCCTGGCGGGCGCTGAGGCCGGGTCTCACAGGTAAACCGGGTGGAGCGAGAGAAGACGCAGGAGCTGCGGCAGGTCCGCGAGCACGAGCAGCACAAGAGCGCCGTCCTGCTCACCGAGCTCAAGAGCAAGCTGCACGAGGAGAAGCTGAAGGAGCTGCAGGCCGTGCGCGAGGCGCTGCTGCGGCAGCACGAGGCCGAGCTGCTGCGCGTCATCAAGATCAAGGACAACGAGAACCAGCGGCTGCAGGCGCTGCTGCACAGCGCGCGCGACGGCGCGCCCGACAAGGCCAAGACGGCGCTGCTGTGCGAGGCCAAGGAGGAGGCCAGGCGGGGCTTCGAGGTGGAGCGCGTCCGCATGCAGCAGGAGATCTCCGAGCTCAAGGGGGCCAAGCGGCAGGTGGAGGAGGCGCTGACCATGGTCATCCAGGCCGACAAGGTCAAGGCCGCCGAGATCAGGAGCGTGTACCACCTCCACCAGGAGGAGATCTCGCGCATCAAGAAGGAGTGCGAGCGCGAGATCCGCAGGCTGGTACGGGCGGGCGGGGGCGGGGGTCCAGCACAGCCCCAGGCTCAGCCGCGCCGCCAGCCCGACTCCCCACTTCGAGTTGGGTCTAGAGCAAGCGCCTGCAAGTGAGCCTCTCCACGTCCCCCGAAAGGGCTTTCAGGGGGCTGCGGGCTAGCGACTCAGATCAGGCACCGAGAGAGGCGCTGGGGGTCAGCAGGGCCAGGGTGCGGCAGCGGAGCCCTGAGGGGGCCCCCGAGGACGGCCCAGCCCGCGGGGTCTCCCCCCTTGGCACGTTTCGGGGCATCGTTTGGGGACGTGAAGTTTTACTTTCCGGAGGGGTCGCGTCCTCTTGCCTTCCCTGTGGGGCCCCGCGGGGTCAGGAATGCTGGACTGAGGGGGTGCCCGAGCATGTGCACCTGTGGGGGTGCGCCCCCGCGTGCGCCTGTGCGTGGGGTTTTGTGTGCACCCGTGAGGGTGTGTCCATGGGGGTGCCCCTGTGGGGGGTGTGGGGCGTGTGGGGGGTGCGCACCTGTGCACATCTGTAGGGGCCCAGCTACAGTTGTCCATGTGCACCTGCACCCCTTGCTGGAGACCTCCACTTCTCAGGGGACCCCACTTCACGCTGGGACCCCCCGGGCAGAGGCAGCAGGGACAGGCCGGGTCCAGCCAGGAGGGGGGCCCATTGTCACCATGTGGCCCGGGGAGGCCGCGCCTTGACCCCCAGGGCCATGTGAGCCGCCCCCCACATGCCACCAGTCCTGGCCAGCTGTGGGGAGGGTGCGGCGAGCCCCCTGGGGCGGGGAGGGGTGGGAGGGGAGGGGCCGTCTCAGCCCCCGCCCCGGGCCAGGCGCTCCCTGACTGCCCCCGAGGTTTCAGGCGCCTCCGGCTGACCTCCCCACAGCCCCACACGAGCCTCACAGGGCCTGGCGCCAGCCGGCTGTTGGGCTCCTGCCCATGGCCACAGGCGAAGGCCACAGGCAGTGTCCCCCCCACTGCCGCCCTCCCTCCGGGGCAGCCGGAGCCCCTCATCCCGGCTCCGCGGTCGGCGCGCCCACTGTCTGCGTAGGAACCCCCCCTTATCGTCCCAACGCCTCGGTGCACACGTCAAGGTCACTCTCCTTTGAGCCCCCGTGGTGCCAGCTCTGGGGGTGTCAGTCCTGGGGAGGGAGCCTCAGCCCCGTATCGCCCGCCCCGGCCACCAGGCGTCGCTGCGGAGCGGAACCCCGGGTGACCTGGGGCCCCCCACCTCCGCTCAGCCCCGCCCGCAGCACACAGCGCTGAGGCGGGAGAGGCTAAGGCTGAGCTCTGTGCAGCTCCGAGCAATGGTGGAACCCGCGCTCGCCCCTGCGCTGCGCTGGACTCGGCCCGGCCATCGCTGAGGTCCTGCCGGTGGCACTGGCCACCGCGCCGCTCTCCAGCCTGGGGTCTTGCCTGCAGCCCCGTTACCCCGCAGGCTTCCGCCCAGTGGGCCCCACGAGCAGCCGCAGCTCCCCGATAATAGGGAACCCTCACGTGGCCCAGCCCTGTGGGGTGGGGGGTAGGGGTGGGGCTCAGGGCAAGCACGCGGCAGGCCCTGGGGTGCTGGGGGGCCCGGGCTGCCCAGCAGCCCAGGAGAAGCTGGATAGCTGGGCCCAGTCTTGACCCCAGCTCTAAGGTGTACCCCTGTGGGTCTCAGAGAGAAGCCCTGGGCAGGGCCCTGCGGCGCGGCCTGGAAAGAGCAGACTGTGCAGGTTTAGCGGGGTCACGCCCCAAGCGGGAGTGGCGTCAGAAGTCAGAGGTGGCTCTGCGTCAGGGGTTTGCAGGGGCCCTGGTGAGGCTGAGGGTGCTTCGGTCCCATCGGAGAGGAGACCCCGCCTTCCGCAGCCGAGCGCGCCGTCCTGGGCGGGGAGGCGGCCCGCGGGGCTCCGGCAGTGCTGGGGTTTCCGCTGAGACCTGGTGGCCGGTCCTGTGCGCGTTTCGGGCGGCGCCTGGCAGGGAAGGCGGCTGCTCCCGCTCTGGCGGCCCAGGCCGGTCAGTCAGCCTGGGGCTAGCTCTCTGCCCCCTTCCGTGGGGTGCATCTCCCAGGGCCCCGTGGCCGGCTGGCAGGGGGAACTCGGGGCCACGCCCGCGCCGCGTGCTGGCGGTCCCCAAAGAGCCGGACCCAGCCCCGCCCCGTGAGCAAGCCCCGCCCCGGGGGCGGGTCAACCGCTCTTCAACCTTAAGGAGCGAGGCAAGGGCAGGGCGTCCTCTCCGCTCGGGTTTGGAAAGGTTTGACCCGCGCTCGAAGCCAGGGGTGCCCGTCCGCAGGCCTGCGGGCGCTGGGCTCTGCCCCTTCCGGCACAACCCCTGCCCCCTGCCCCGCCCCGAGGCCCCGTGGGGTGGCAGTCACGCCGGAGGCCCGGCCCAGCTGCGACCGGGGCAGGTGGGAGGCGACTGGCCCCTCACGGCCACCTCCCGTGGCACGTGCCCGAGGCCGTCGT